GAGGATTTAATTTTAGATATATTGACTGGGAGATTTCAGTGTCAAACAGTGAGGTGATAGATTTTAGAAAACTGTTCAAGATAGTTTTCTTCACCAAATGGTTAGGAAACTCAGTACAGAGAATGCTATTTTAGATTTATTACCAACCTACAGTGTGGATATGATCAAGGGGGTAGAAGTGGGAGAGTATTTGGGTAATTAATCATTGTATAATTAGATTTGAGATAAGGAGATCAAAAATAAAAGTAATTTGGTTCTAAATTTTGGGATGGCGTATTTTGAGGGAATGAGATAGGAATTGATACTGATTGATTGAGATATTGAATTAAAATGAAGAGACTTGTCAAATGTGGGAAGTTTTTCAAAATAAGTTGTGGAATATTCAAGATAAGTATGTTCCACAGAGAAAAAAAAATTGGCTGTAAGTAACGGATTGATTCTGTCAAGCCACTTTACTAACTGGTCAGTTTTCTGATGTACTAGTCAGTTTTTTTCCCAGTCACACTTTACTTTAATGAGTCTTGAATATAACTCCATTTTGAAAATTTGTTTATATCATAGGTTAATGTGAATTCAGATGCTTTACTCTTTTTATGTCATTACTGATAGTCAATTTTCATATATTAATTATTTAGAGGGCATTTAGGACTATTTTATTTTTTTATTTTTGGTGTCTTTGTACAGCAAACAGAACATTTTACTTCTATCACCTATCCATAAGTTGGCTTTTCATTAATACGTAAGTGCTGTGCATCATTCAAAAATCAATTTTCTGTATCTCCATAAAAAAAAGTCATCATAACAACCAGTCATTGACATGTTGAAGTCATAGAGATTTCAACTCGGTACTCTTCATACAATTGCTTGGAGTGAGCTAGTTACATCTAATAAGCAGATCAATAAATTCAAATCGCCACATAAGCTTAAGTAGTGCTTATATTTTTATAATTTCATAACCAGTTTGTGCTTTTTATAGTTTTCATGCTATAACTTTAAATTAGTAAGCGAATGTTAACAAAATTTGGCAGATTATCAGAAAACATTACAATGTTTTCGTATGCAAAATATAATATTTTTTTATTAAGTCTTAACGTTTATAAATCAATGTTTTTCTCATGTCTTTTTTTTTCTTTTCGCATGCAAAGTAATATTCATTTTAAAATCAAAAATACTTTTTTGCAACAGAAAATTTTGAAATTTCACATGTAAAATCTTTATACTGTCGAGATGGTTATCAATCATTTCTTAAGAAAAAACTTTACATTTTATTTGTTATTTTCAGTAATTATTCTCTATATAGGTTTGGGAAATTTGACAGATCTTGCAACCACCATAAAAAATTAGGAAATAAATATAAATTATGCCTCTTTCATTCTAGAATGA